TAAAATTTTTTTTACATATATGAAACTTGTTGGCCAAAAAAAGTATTTGTTTCCTATGGTAAAATGAGGCTTCTACCTATCAGAGGCAAATGCTCCTCTACATTTTCATCCTCAGGATGATGCACTAGGGATAGAATTCGCTTGTGCGCTTTTCTTAACTTGCTTTGCTCAAAAGGCCGCAAAAGCATCATGATGTCAATATTTAAACACACAGGAAAACCAAAAGTTTGGCCTCCAATAAATTTATTTAGCCCTTACTGCTATAAATGATATTAAGTAGAGGTTACTTGCCCAATTAATTAATACATTTCTAATTAATTAAAATATCACTGGAAATATATATATTCATTTTTCCTCTAAGGAGGCTTCCTTTAAAGCTGGCATATCTTGGATCTTCACAAAATTTGGAATTAATCTATTATTAGCTTATCTTATTAAAAATTCTGTTCTAATTTAAAGAACCCAAGATTCATTTAAATTGATTTTGATGTGTATGTTCAATCGTTTCAGCTAATTGTCGTGTTGGTGGTCGTAGCCGGATTTGATGTGAATCCGTGCGAACACGAGTCCATTTATTAAGCAAATTGACCCATTTGTTTTTATCTGCTCACTGCTACCAATAAATCGATATGCAATTTAGTGATATGATTTCAATGTGTTACATAAAGACCTATAATTGGATACGTGTAAATTGGTGTGTATTACCACTACCTTACGTGTAAATTTGTTCGTTTGCATAAAACGTAAGAAATCAACAAAATAATTATGTTGATTTTCAGACTCTTATTTAGGATAAAAGGATAAAGTCCAAAAACCTTGGTTTTTGTATATATATATATATATATATATGGTATATAGTTTTATAAAAATTTAGATTAGTAATAATTAAATCTACTTTAAAATAGATAAAGTCCAAAAACCTCGGTTTCCCCCTCATATGGAATATATACTATTATTAAATGTATAATAGTGTATTTTATAATATTTATGTTGATTTTTGGACTCTTATTTATGATAAAAGGATAAAGTCAAAATGAGTCGGACGGATGTTAAAATAATCTGTTAACTGTGCTACAGAGGAGTATATTTAATTATTGTTGAGGAGACTTTTTATTTTGTGTCATAATGTATGGTGAAGGGGTTTGAAGCTCCATTACATCAAAATACGACTGCGGATTACCGTTGTACTGCAGCCGTTTGGCTTTAATAGGACGTTCAGATTGACGCAGTAACGAGAAATGCTCCTTCATTTCAGACGAAAACAAGCTTAGCTTTCGTTCATCATATGATGGACATCCTCAAAGCTGGAACTCTTTCTTGTGAAAGTCATATATATTAACACCAGGTCTACTTGAGACTTGAGACTTTTACTAGAATGCGTTCCAGCTATGAGGATGCCCATCATATGATGGGCGAAAGCTTAGCCAGTTTGCGCCCGTAACGAGGGCGGATGTCTCGTGGACCGCACCATTCGGAACGTCGTAGTAAAGCCAAACTACCACAGTAAAACGAGAGTCTGTAATCGTCTTCTGATGAGATAAGCCTTCGAATCTTTTCATCATCCACTTTCATACAAAATGTAAGTCTTCCCAACATTATTATCTTAAGAGTTTAATTGAAACCCAGTTACTCTTCGTATATATTTAATTCCAATGTCAATTCCTTTAATGACTATACACCAGCACAATACTCTACAGTTAGAGGTCTGAAAAATTTCCATTTTAAAGAATTCCTTGTTAGTTTTTTATTCAATGACCTTATTTTATCTAAAATATGCTTTCGACAAAAATTTTCAATAAGCCTTCAGTTTAATCCTAACTACTCTGTTTTATTCTTTCTTATGTTGTCACTGTCCTATAACTTTCGAGCTTCTTTTGCCAATTACTGCATAGCTGTTATGTGGGGAGTAGTAAATAGGGGAGCGCACGCCACCTTTTCTGAATGACCAGTATTCGCCAAGTGGTATCTTCTGTAACAAGCTTATATTTGGTCTTGAATTGTTCTTCGGATTTTTTGGGTCATTTACATAAACAAATAGAATGTCACCTGATTGTCAACAGGGCATGTAGATGTCTTCAGGTCCCATTTAAGGTTTCGACTCGAGATCTATTTCTTTATCGTTCAAAACGCAAATCAATGACCGTAGCATTATCATAATTTTATCGTCACGCACGTCTATTAGAGCGCTATAATAAAACGTGGTAATTATAGTCTACAGTCTCCTCCACTAAATTCTTGACCTCATCATTGCTCACTAAGCTGTCAGTAATAGCCTCGTGTGCGTGGTAGATTTTATTATTTAATTGTAAAGTTTATAAAAATCTTCGAATCTTCTGTTTTGACTGCGGTATCCTTTCACTGTATAGAACCCGCCAAGACCATAGTTCAGCGCATAAAGTATCATGGCAGAGGACTCCTGATAATGTGTTCCTATTTAGGCCACCCTGAAATCACGAACAAGTTGTGAAAACGAGGTCAAACTATTTTTATGATACCCTTTATTGAAGGAAATATTTCATTTTGTTTATATATGAATCTAAATTGCCTATTTTATATTTGTTTAGTTCTTTTGGTATCCTCATGATAGGCGCTCTCTGTTCATATTAATTTGCTGATTGATGTTTTTCCTTTTTGGGTAATAGCTATTTGATAATCATATTTTACTTCCTATCCCGATATATTCTCAACTTCACAACTCTATGCTTTCCTCTTCCTTTAATAATTCATTGACTTGAATAATTGGCGGCAACTCATATGCTGCGAAAAAACGACGAAAAAAAACGAATTTGATGAGTTGTACAATCTTGTCCTATCTCTGAATATCCTATTTAGCTTTGAAACGAGAGAGACCTGTTCTATTTGAAAGTCCAAAATGACCTCTATCTAGTGACACTGAGTATATGTTGTAAAGTAGGTAATACTCCTCTCAATATATGACTTAAATTTGAATTTCTTTGAGGGTGCTTATTAATCCTGGCCCAGATCGAAACTGTACTTTCGAACTCGAAATTAAGCATTATCTTCAATTCATCATTAGAATATGGTCATTCATTTAGGTGGTCACTTCAACATTCTTCCAGCAAGCTAGTCTGAGCTTCACTTTCTATTTTATCTAATGTCTTTAAACTATTGAAGTGGGTTGACCTCGCTTTCACAACTTGGTCTTGTTGTCAAGGTGGCTTAGTTGGACGCACCTTGTCCTAAGTTCTCTGCCATAGTAGTTATCATAATTCCCAGCGTAAGACCGTGAATTTGGTACATTACCAAGTCGACCAAGTTGCGAAAACGAAGTCGACCCACTCCTCTACATTGAAAGGAGACTACGATCACACGGAGGGCCACACCATCTTGGTCTTTTTATCTTCTTTAAACTATAGTTTACTTACTAGAAGATGGTCGTCTCGCTTTTTCTTATTAAGTTTAATAATCCTCTCCTCATTTCTATCATCAATACAGTTTTTTATTTAGATTTATATATTCTTGTAAGCAGACGACCTGTGCTATCAGAATATGTCATTTCCCTTGACATATTTCCTTATTTAGCTTATCTTTTATTCATATCCTATCCATTTTGCCTAAGTTTGATTCGTCAAAACTCTTATTTTATTTACCTTTAATTTTGTATTCAACCTCCAACTATTCCATTCTTCATTTGCTTTACCTTATATATTCTCCTTGATGTCTATATAACTCTTACTCTTGTTTTAGGTGAAGGATCTGAGCTGCGACCATATTTGCCGATTAATCGGTGTCTGCGTAGATCGACCTCATCTAGTCTATGAATACTGCCCAAAGGGAAGCTTACAGGACGTACTTGAGAGTGAGCAGATTAATCTAGACTGGATGTTCAAGTTTTCTCTTATCCAAGATATCTGCAGAGTAAGTCAAAACCGCATTGCCTTTTCCGAAACCACATGAACACTTCCTTTTTCTGCTTAGTTATTCGCTCTCATTCGCTTTGGATGCCTTTCATTTTCGTATAATGCTACGTAAAGAAGACCGGAACGAAAACACTTTAGCTGAAAATTTCTCCTCCATGCAGATAGCAATTTAAATAAGATAAAAATATTCCAGGGCTTTTAGTGTTGCAAATCTTTCATTCATTAGTTTTACATATATCTGCGCCATTCAACTTGCCTATACTTCTTTTCATTGAGAACTATCACATAAACGGACTTATTCGGTCCAAGAATGTCATACATCTATGCGTAAGTACTGATGCATGAACAATGCACGGCATCGAGTTGACGATATAGCCTTTATACTTATATATGAATAAATATTTGGACAATTTCTCGTTTTTAAAGGCGATAATTAGCTTCTCACTTTCATTTATTAGGGTATGATCTACCTGCACAACAACCTTGGGCCCCACGGGAATCTGAAGAGTTCTAACTGTCTGGTAGATTCTAGATTTGTCGTCAAAATCACCGATTTCGGTTTGCACATCCTTCGAGGACCAAAGTACACCGTTGAAGATTACGCCTTCCATCGCAGCAAGTTTGCCTGCTTTACTTATTTTATTGAGGCTATTTACACTCATAATTTAACTTGTAATCTATATGTAATTATTGCAAATCAACTCAATTTTGTTCGACCATGTCTCGTATATAGGAAATAAGAAGAAAGGATTGCCGAAGAATTTGCTGAATTTATTGAAAATATTGTTAATTTTATACAACAGTCAACTGTCACATGAATTACGATAGGGTTGCTTGCGATGGTATAAAATTTTGTCTTGATTTAAGTTTACTTATTGTATTTTAATATAATTATGTTCATTTTTGACTTCATCATCTGGGCTTTCATCTTAACCCGTCTAACAAAGTTTACCATGTATAGTAAAGGGAAAATTTTTTATTTATCTTTTGATAGGCTGTTTCTTTGCTGGTTTCGACTCTATAAGAAAATACGAGGCAAAACTATTTATGGGCTGAAATATGGAGTACTTTCCTCGCCCTTTGTAATTACAGCAAATATAAACAATTTGATTGGGCATATACTTTTAGGGATGGTTAGTTTTTTGGGTTCTGCCTTCCTTTATAATACTGAGTATATCGTTAGAGTCGGAAACTTTCCTGGAAAACTAAATTAAACGTAGAGCTTTCTACCTGACATGATTAAAATATGCTTGATAGATTTTTACAGATAGCAAGGCATTGTGTCTCAATTCTGATTGGGTTAATATAATCATGATAATCACCGCTAATTACACTAATTGGATGAAAATCTTTCCTTTTGTTACCTTCGGACAAATCAAAGGGTTTTTTGATTTTCAAATTATTACTATGCATATTTATTCGTGCTTTGATTTGTAAATTGCTTAGACTATAAATCACTACATTTCATAATAAGCTTGATAAGTTTTATTATATTTAGTTTGACTTATAACTTTTTTGTCTTTTCCAAAATAGATCGTCTGTGGACGTCTCCAGAACTACTGCGCGACAAAGTCTCGTCGGCTCTTGGGACTATCAAAGGCGACGTATACAGTTTTGCCATTGTCTGCCAAGAGATAATCTATCGCAAAGGTGTCTTCTTTCTTGCTACTCAAGAGCTAGAACCCAAGGTAAACAGCAAGTGACTTTTAAAAGGCTTTAAATGGTATAGATAGTATATATATATATATATATATA